GGGTTAGGTTTTCGGGTTTAGGGGCGTTAATCGTTACCTATACAATGTTTTGTTTGGGGAGTCCTTACTATAATTACAGTATACGATACCCGCAAAACTGTATTCTAATTAATATTGCCTCTATATTTGTGTTGCGGCTTTGAGATTAGAAGTTCTTACCAGGGTTCAGGGCTTGTGGGCATAGTGTGGCAAAGTGCTCAGTCAAGTTGGGACGCTTTGGTTGCTAGGGAATTTAGCCTTAGCACTAAGCCTTATGCCCTAAACCCTAAACCACTAATCTCTCATCCCTAAACCCCAAAACCCCAAGCTCTAATCCCTAAGCCCTTGGTTGCAGGGATGACAGGCATCGTTTTTTTTCTGCTTGATCTTCGGAGTTTAAGGATTGCTCGCGGTTGGTCGATGGTTGGCTTCCCAGGCCTCTACCTGTCGTCTCCATTGTAGTTCCTTTTGCGGTATACCTTATAGGATGCATGGTATAATGGGTTAAATAAAAAAGGGAATTACAATAGAGTCTAAAAGGTAGTACATGTGCATGAGATTGACGTCTGCGAATAAGTTAGTAGCTCAATATGTTGGGTGCTCTAGCCTCTAGAATGGCTGAGTCCCCCCCCCCCCCGGTTCTAGGATTTCTGGCGCAGGTACGATTTCGATGCTTGTACTTCAGTCAACAAACTAGGTCTAAATTTGCAAGCCTCCTTGCTGCGAGTTGAGGGCTTGCAAACCTGCCTTCATAGTGACTGCTGGCTGCAATGGGCCTCCCTGTTGGACTCCCTAATCCTTATATTGAACCGTGAGGATCTCGGTTTGTTTAGGGCAGCTCGTGTACCGAATCTCTGGGGGAGCCACAGCCAATGATGACGGTATCAGCCAGCCGTGAAGCAGACCATTCGTTCGGGTGGGAGCCCGGCTACATTAAGGTTTAGGGTTTAGGGTACATGTAACAAGCAGTCTTAAAGCTCCCGCGCGCCCGCAATCCATGTGCCCTGGGTATAACGGTATAAGTTTGCGGTCGGAGAATTCTTGTCCTGTGAATTCTAGAGCTACACTATCCATGTTATAGCTGCCACCATAAACACGGCTGCAGACCTTCCGCCATCTATGTTCTTTGAGGGTCCATGTCGGGTTGAGGGAGCCTGTTTTTTGTTAGTCTTGCCATTAGTAAGCACCGCATGATTATTCTCGTTGTTAACCTTATGATGACCGGGTCGTTGATTCGTACTACTGTAACTATCCTTATTTAATCGCGTCTTGTTACGAACAGAGAAGCACTTCTTTTCGTGGTGCATCATGCAAAACCACCTGTGCTGTCGCAGACGATCGAGTCCTTCGGTGACGAAGTCCTGGTTCGAGGGAAAGCCCGGCTGTGGCTAAAGGCCCACAGTGTAGGGTTTTTCAATTTTAGGGTTCAGGAGGTGAGATGTTGTCACTGTTGACGGTGTAAATCCTGCAGTACCTTAAGGACCCGAAACTATGGGAATCATGGTGGTGTATTCCTTATTATGGGTAATGCAAAATTCATATCATCAACTGTATGAGGGGTCTTACACATGCTCCAGTACTCTCGGGGTATTGGAGAGCGCTGCAGTCCGTTGAATGGTTTTTGGTCTTCGTACCTCAGCCTCCGGTCTCTACCATAGCCTTTCAGGGATCCCTTTTTCAGCAACCCTGCTTAACGGATACCCTAACCCTAAACCGTATAAAGCTTAAACCTAAACCCTAAACCCATCTTAGCGGCTCATGGGAATTAGGAAGTCAGGTTCGACGTCAGGTTGTAATTATAATAACCCGACCTAAGGCACTAAGAAGCCCCGTTATAAACCCGACTTACAAAGTCCCTTGAGCCCTTCAGGATTGTAGCTTACAGGCATCCTACAGTGAATCGGTTCTGCTTGGGAAAACTATGAAACCTCTGGGCATGTGAAGCTCGAGCTTTAAGAAAGAAGTCAAGCCAGCCTGCCCTTCCCGATTCTGTTTGTTAGGGCTCCTAACTATGGCTGCCCTAATGATTAAGGCCATGCGAATGTTCATTCATAGTGGCATGTAGCTTAATACCCAATGTAAGGAAAGCTCGATCAAACTGCCACGAGCAAAAGATTTTCACTGTTATCCAGTTTCCGGTCCGAGATCACGAGTTCAACATACAAGGCTGAATAATTTCCCCTCCAAAATAATTTGGAGACTGTCTTGAAGTTTCAAAACTGGAGCAAATGCCTTAGGCCGACAGGAAAATCGCAGTTCCAACAGGCCCGACGGAGGAAAGCAGCGTGTATGCGCAGCTGTGCCAGAAGGCCTTAGATACTTATGCCGTAGACCCGAAATCAAAAAACCCTATTCTAATTCTGCAAATTCTTACAGCCCCTATACTACCGGTACCTGATCCTGCCTCAGATTGCCGGGGGGGTCAAGACCGAAGTGCTGACGGCGGCTGAGTCCTTGGTTCCTTCAGACTGAACCCCCAAGAACAGTTCACTATTAGTTACTGGGTGTATCCGGGTGTAGGGTTTAGGATTGTTCCTGCGGCTTTGAAGTGAAGCGTTTGAGGTTCAGGCTCCTCCGCCGCGTGGGTCCTCGAATCATGCACGCAAGCATCGCCAATGCGTGACCCTACAGAAGAAGAGCTCCGGAGGTTTGTAGGAGTCCGACAATTCCTAAACCCTAAACCCTAAACCCTAAAAATTGTACAGACATGGCATCAAGGGGGAAACGAGGGAATTAGGGTTCTAGCTGGGTCTAAGGTAATTTGAACCTTAGGGTTCCTCTTATAAGTATAATGTGAAGCACCCCAACACCTTAGGGTTTAGGGTTTAGGGTTTAGGGTTTAGGGTTTAGGGCTTAGGGTTTAGGGTTTAGGGTTTAGGGTTTAGGGTTTAGGGTTTAGGGTTTAGTATAATGTGAAGCACCCCAACACATTACTCTAGCTAGACTCTAAAAGTCAAGGATCCTATACCAGGAAACTTGGGATACAGTGCTTCCGGAGTAGAATTGGAAAGCGGCAGGCTACAGCAGAAGACGAAGGATTCGACCCCAACATGTCGTCGCCGATTCCTATTATGGTATCCTTGTCTCCCTGTCTCTGTCTCTTCTCTCTTGTTTTTGTTCTCTCTATAGAGAGAGATATTCATATACGTATATATATATATATATGATATATGTATATGTTTCATACATATAACGTTGTAGTATGGTGTACTATAGTACAGTCTAGTAAAATGTTTTGCCAAATATTGAAGCAGAGTATAGCATGGCATGGCGTGGCATGGCGTGGTATGGTATGGTGTGGTGTATAGTAGAGTAGAGTAGAGTCGAGTATGGAATTGTTGAGGCTCTTTGGGGCAGTTAGTTTCCTGGAGTCTGGAGGGTGGTGACCCTAAACCCTAAAAGCCAACGAACCTAAAACCAAAACCCTGACGGTTTAAGGTTTAGGGTTTAGGGTTTATGGTTTTGGGGGGTTTAGGGGTTTAGGGTTTAGGGTTTGGACCCTAAAAGCCAACCAACCTAAAACCAAAAATCCTGCGCGACAAACCCACTGAGGCCGTGAAAGGCGGCCCACTGAGCCGCGGGGACCTGCAATGCAGCGCGGTCCCCAGGTTCAGGGACAATAGGAGGGACCCCTACAAGGGACCCCTAACCCAGATTCCCTACATAACCCTTGTATACCCCCTATATGGTCTCATCCCCAGGGGTTCCTTTAAGGGTCCCTCCTTTAGTCCCCTGACCGGGGTTCAGGGCTTCGGGTTCCCCAGCCCACTACGCCCTAAACCTTGAACTCTATATGCCCAAGGCAGGTTTAGGGTTTAGGGTTTAGGGTTTAGGGTGTATGCCCAAGGCCCGTGGGTCAATGCACAGTTGTAGAAGTTTCAAACCCTACCTATAGTCTCCATTGTAGTTCCTTTTTTGTTTAACCAATTAGATGTAAAGGGTTTTATAAGGTATCCCCAAAAAGGAACTGCAATGGAGACAATAGGTAAACCCCAAACCCGTAACCCTAAGACCCTGAACCCTGTAACCCTAAACCCTTTTCCCGAAGATCCGAGATCTCCCGAGCACTCCAGGGCCGCGACCATGTGAGCGTTAGAGTTGAGGGCTCGGGGTTTGGGGTCCAGCGTTCAAGGTTTAGGGTTGTTTAGTCAGTTAAATAAAAAGCCTGAATACTTGGAATATCGGGCTTTGGAGAAATGTTGCGGCATTGTACTCGAACTATGACTGTGAGGATGCAGTACTAGTAATTCTTCCTAAGCCAGCATGAAACACGACCCGAAGCTCTAAACCCTAACCCCTTAGTATTTATTCCGAGCTCGATATGACCTGATCGCAGCCGGCTCAGGCGTCCTTGAAGTCGGCGCGTACTGCGGGTACTCTGCCGCTGGGCGGGCAATATCCCTAAACCCTAAACCCTGAATCATTACCAATACTACTCTTGAGGGGGCCCTTGTTGTAATCATAGTAGGGCCCCTTAGTGTAATCATAGTAGGGTTTAGGGTTTAGGGTTTAGGGCCCCTTAGTGTAATCATGGTTGACTCTGCCAGCCTTCTTCGGTTCGGAAGTACCATACCTGTTTTGTGTTTGGACATGTTCCTTAAAGGAACCATCATGAAATGAACGTGTATACCCTTTTCCGCGCTTTCTACTCAAAATCCAGCTTCCTGAAGTGCACATTGCGAATCCAAGGCAATGGGAAGCCCCAACCCCGGGCTTTTTCTAGTTTGGTTCGGGCCTGGTTATCAAGGTCCCTAGGCTATGGCTTTCTGGGTTTTAGGGTTTAGGGCCTGTGGCTTCGAATCTTTCGGGTTCGAGCTATTCTGAATTTGGGGGCTGCAGCAGCCCGACGTACTCAGAGATGCCCAACTAAAGCCTGCATGACCAAGGCCACTAAACCTGCACCTGTAGCCAGGCTTCCTAAACCCTCAGTTCTTCATTCATTTCACAATTCTACCTATAGTCTCCATTGTAGTTCCTGTTTTTGGTTCAACCAATTATATATTAAGGGTTCTATAAGGTATCCCCAAAAAGGAACTACAATGGAGACTATGGGTAGACGAAGCCCTGATTTCTAGAATCGTCAAGCATAAACCGCTGTAAGACCTACCACTCCTAAGCAATACTTTTCGAAGGCGGACTCCAAGGGCCAAGGGTGCATGTTCCTCTGTACTTAATATATACAGGTTTAGGGGTTCTGGGTTTAGGGTTTAGGGTTTAGTGGCCTCAAGCTACCTGTGCAGGAACCCTTTCAGGTCAATGTGTAGACTTGCTGCATGGACCTTGAAGTAGCAGAGTGCGACTGTCCACTGGAACCCTTGATTGCTTGCTCAGTCCACCCGCATGGCGTTGGCACTTCCGGGCGTCGTTGCCTCAGTGGGTGTCAGGTTTTCTATACGGGATACTATGAGGGCTATTCTAGCATTATGATACTGTGAAGGTTACTCCAAGGGATTGCAGGGGTGTGATGTATGAGCCTCAAGAACTCGGCATTGCGACTTGGTGAGTTTGAGCGATGTCTCGGGACTCATGAAACGTGTTTGCGCAGTTTCGGGTTACTGCCAGATTCGATACGATCTTCACGCATTGGTCTTTGCCCTCAGCCGTAAACACGAATGCACTTTATAGCGGTGTGATAGCTGGACGATCCAAAGAACACTTACTCGTACAAAATTGCATGCCGAAGTCCGCAATGTCAACATGTCTTCATGTGCGATTTCATCACCATTGTCTTATAGAGCCCTAGACCGGAAATCCCAACCTCAAGCCATCCTGGCTCATGTGCTTAGACTTAGACTGTTCATGATTTGTTTTCGGACGCCCGGCTCGCAGATTAGGGTCTAGGGTTGAAAAACTTGGGTTTAGGGGTTATTTGGGGTTTAGGGTTTTCTGCTGCCTAAATAAACCCTCTGGAGCTTGAAGACTCACCCGAAGCTTCGTGAAAGGTTCACATCGCTTCCCTCGAAGTAGATCCTGCCGCTGCCTCGGCTAGAAGGTTTAGGGTTTGGGGATTAGGGTTTAGGGTTTAGAAGGTTTAGGGTTTAGGGTTTGGGGTTTGGGGTTTAGGGTTTAGGGTTTAGGTAGAGGAGGAAGTGTGACGTTAAGAGGCTGCTGCCAGCTTCCGATCATCGGGAAGACTCAGGGCTTTACAGCCTCGATACTTGCCACTGTCCTTTCTCTTTAGCCTGAGCTCCTGTGTATGCGAATATTCTTCCTGTACATTTCCTGTATACTTCCGGGCTTAGGGTGCAACTATGTCTTCCCCCACTGGCAAAAGTAGCACCTCACTGCCAATCGTGGTCTTCAAGCTTCGCACGGCCTGTGACCGTCGTGGCGGCTACATGTTTTACTGGGCTGCGGGACGGAAGCTCCTCCCCACTGGGATTTCTTCCCAAAGGGTCCAAGTATTAATATGGTAGCTACTTTGTAGGTATTTGGGCTCCCAAAGTATATACCATACTATAACTTGGACCCTTTGGGCTTTTCGACGTGCCTACCCCGATTGCTGACCAATGTTTCATCTTCCTTGTGAGTGGGTACTTGGTATTGAGCGGCAGCGGAAGGTACTTGGGCACTAGAGGTAAGGCTTGGGGTACAGTCTGGTGGTTCAGCATGGGCAACAGGGTGTCAGCCACGCCCCCCGTGTCGTTTCAGAGCTGTTCGTGCATAAGGGTTCGGGGTGGGCCCCGAAAGCAAGTGGTCAGAGACAATCGGAGGGACGCCTACAAGGGACCCCCAATCCAGATTCCCTATATAACCCGTATATACCCTTATATAGTCTCATAAAGCCCCTATATAACCCCAAGGGTCCTTTAAGGGTCCCTCCTAGTCCCTTGAAATTGTATGCGCATTCATCATAGCTCCACGATCACCCGCAAAAAGTCGTTTGAAGTAACCAAAATTCCTGGAACCTAAACCCCAAGCCAAGACACAAATGTAGGGGCCTTATAATAATTATAAATGGGTTTTGGGGCTCCTTTATTTCTGGTATAGCTTTGACAAGGAACCATAAGGAATAATGTTGGTAACTATTTAGGCTTCTATAGAATGCACCAGTTCAGCCCTAAACCCTAAACCCTAAACCCTAAACCCTAAACCCTAAACCCTAAACCCTAAACCCCAGTTCAGGTCCACGTTGTCATCGCCCGGAATGTGGTCCTCCACGCCGGGCTTCAGGGCACCATCGATGCAGCCCGGCCTTTGCAAAGTCCGCGGATCCTCCTTAGGGCCTTAAGGCCAGGTAGATACTATATAGGGGCCTTTAGGGTTTAGGGTTTAGGGTTTAGGGTTTAGGGTTTAGGGTTTAGGGTTTAGGGTTTAGATAATATATAGGGGCCTTCATAACTAGAATAGGGTTTGCGGGGTAATATTATTGCACTGTGACTATAGTAAGGAACACCCCCAAAACCCCTTTTTTGATTTATATTAAGGCCCCTACATTACCTCATGCCAATTGGTTCGAAGGGCTCCTACGCACCCCTAGAGTTTCGTGTTACTAACCCGACTTCAAACGAAACGGGAAGCGTAGTAGTAGTAGTAGTAGTAGTAGTAGTAGTAGTAGTAGCAGTAGTACTAGTAGTCGTCGTCGT